AGAGTCCTGGTTTAGAGTCCTGGTTTAGAGTCCTGGTTTAGAGTCCTGGTTTAGAGTCCTGGTTTAGAGTCCTGGTTTAGAGTCCTGGTTTAGAGTCCTGGTTTAGAGTGATAAAAGTGAGCTCAAGACTACCAATACACCTTCATGTAGAAAGTTGATTTTGTAGATGGTGTTGCTAAGATGATTCATTGGAGCATGTTCAAGGCCCTTGGCTTTCATTAAGCCTGAGAGTCCAACCTAAGCCTCAGAGGCCCACACTAGAAGCCTGACCCCTTCTGTGGATTTCTTCAATAAACATGAAGTGCTTGATCCATGTAATGTTATCAGAATTTTTTTTAAAGATGCAAAACATGTATTTTGAAACAAACTGCCATGAGTGACCTGGATTAGTACTGTCAAAACAAAACGTGTTTCCAGGTTTTAAATGTACTTTTTGTAGGCTTAGGAAAGCATGCTTTTCAGTCGTCATTTTCAAGATGCTAGAAATAATCTTTGGCAGTTTTTTGGAGGGAGTTTGCTTTTTAAATGTCATTCAGTTGGAGACAGTTATTAAGAAGCTTTAAAGTGTGCTGCTGGTGATTAATAGGACAGGTGGGTATAGATCCTGCATTTACTTGGTGCCGCTTTTCTGAAACGTATACCCATAATATCCTGAAGTCCTTTGAACATTTTAGCGTCCTTGACTGATGTGACAGTACTAGAGCTGAGTGATCAGTCTTTCTTTCTCTGCAGACAGATGCTCTGAAATGTGTGGCACAAGCCAGTAAGAACAGGTCGTTGGCTGATTTTGAAAAGGTGAGTCCCATGTCCTTACCTGATTACTGAAATTTGTCCTTCTCTGGGGCTCCTTGGGTCTGTGGGTTTTTTGGAATTACATTGGTCTCAGCAACTCATTATCTGAAGAACCAGGTGAATTTCATTCCTGTTTTAATAATGAGGTCATGCCCTCTAGCCCTTGATGTGCCTTAATGCTGTGGGAGGCCCTAAAGATCCCATGTGGTTGTCCTGTTGTCTGAAGCTTGTCCTCCTCCTCTTGCTTCCAGGCTTTGACAGAATACAGAGTAGAGCTGAGGGACGACCCCATTATCAGTACCCACCTGACAAAACTGTATGACAACCTGCTGGAACAGAACCTGATCCGTGTCATTGAGCCCTTCTCCAGGGTGCAGGTAGGAGCTGGTGTTTCCCCTCTGTGGTGCTTTGAACTGAATGAGACAGTGAGAATTTCTCCTCACTCATTTGTATTTGTTTTGCAGATAGAACACATATCGGCCCTCATAAAACTCTCAAAGGTATGAATAATAGAACCACCCAATTATTTATTTTTGCAATATGCGAGACTTCAGTGTGGAATTAGTAGTTGAAGGCTCTTGACTTTTCTAAATACAAAGCACTGTGAATATGCTACAACGTTCATTGCTTTTGCTTTCTTGTAGGGTGATGTGGAGAGGAAATTATCACAGATGATTTTGGATAAGAAATTTCATGGTAAACATTTCAAGTGCTTTCATGCTTTTAGATAATGAACTTTTGAACATGCAGTGGCCCTTTGGTACTTCTGTTGTGTAGGCAGTGCTTGGGTTAATAAACATGGCCACTGCCAGATGTTTGTTAAAGGCATTGTTTACTGTTTTCTTTGATCTTTCAGGGTTGGGTATTTTTGAGAGAGAATTTTGCTGTCCGTTTACATTCCTGAGTTTTCCGTCTTGTCCAAAGGTATCCTGGACCAGGGAGAAGGTGTACTGATCATATTTGATGAACCCCCAGTAGACAAGACCTATGAAGCAGCTCTTGAAACAATTCAGAACATGAGCAAAGTTGTTGATTCACTCTACAATAAAGCAAAGAAACTAACATAGGTGAGTTCTACCTGGTGTCTACAGTTTGGGTCCCACACAGGTAATTTTTTTCAAGGCCCCCAATGGTATTTGACTTTTACCAACATTTCTGGCTGTCATAGGGTTTCCGTTCATTCTCGGAAGTTGTGGAAATTTCATATTGACCTAAGTGTTTAAACCTGAGGAGACGCACGTTTCTCCTAAACTCCCCTTAGCTAAGCTGTTAATGTCTTCTGTGTTCATGAAATCTGTCTGAGTGTGAACCATAAAATGTGGGAATTCTGAATCATGCCCTTCCCCCCCCCCCCACTTCAGGTTGAGGGGAAAGAGATTCTGCTGATTCGCGTGTCTGTTCTCCACAGAAATCAAGATGGCAGGCAGTGGAGAATGCGTGACTGGCATGTGGAACTTTTCACGGGAGGAAGAGAGGTGGGGGAAAAGAGGGGGAACAAGAAAAAATATCCCAAAAACTGAAGCAGTACTCCAGTTTTTAACTTCTCCTTCAATGGACAAAACAAACTTTTCAACTGTATTATCACTTTTTTTTTTCTTTTTAAGATGTTGTTTTTCAGGATTCTCTGCAACACTCAGTGGCCCCAGCAGGCATCAGGGAATATTGTACAAAAACAATAAAACATATAAAAACTATACATATATGTGTGTGTGTGTGTGTGTGTGTGTGTTGGGTGGGTGTATGTGTATGAATGTGGGCTGTATGTGTGTGTTGTATATGCACTTACACACACACACACACAGTCCTCCTGCAGAATACACCAGTTAGGCAGGCAGAGCTTGACTACTTCTGTTGCCAGGTACAGTGTTGAGACTGTAAACATCTGACAACACGTTGAGTACGGTTTTGATCAAGGTAACCTTTCACCTCTGCCCCACTGGTTGTAAAGCTTTCTAAAAGCATATTGACTGGTTGTGGATGGACAAAAAAAGACCGGGAAGATCATAAGTCTCTGCTGGGCTGAATTAGATGCTCATTCATTCTGTCTCAGCACTGTTTTTACAGAACATTGCCAAGCATCCATACCTGTATGTAATTAAAGTCTATCAGTGCTGCTTTTGTACTGATGCCAACTCAATGGAACATGTTGGTTTTCATTCTTAAATACAATAAACTAAATTCTCCATGTTTTGCATTTTATTTCTCCCTATAGTTCTGTGCTACCTCTGTTTGGGTCATCAGTCAAACCATAGAATTCGGAAAAACCTGTTAGCGCTTATTCCGTTAATGTGTTAGAAGCTGTAGTACAATGCAGTATGCTGTTAGCCTAATGGTTTATATTTTTCTTTTCCACATATTCCTGTATTTAAACATCATGTCTGGCTCAAGTTTGAAATAAAACATTTTGAGGGTTACTGCAGGGAGCATTGCTTGGTATTTTGATGAAACTAAAATTCAGATGTCTTCTGGGATAAGTGCTTACTCAGAAGTAGTCATATTTGGTCTAATTGAACTTTGTGGGCAGAGTAAATGGAAAGCCAGATACTGCTCAAACAATGCATGAGTAGCCATTGAACATATGTCAACGAGCCAGCTTTCTGGTAAGAATCTTTTTTTTTCCATTTACTTCTCGTCTTCACGGCAAGTAAAGATGGGTTTTTAAAGAGCCTCTTCATGTAATCTGGTGAAATTGTCTGCCAAGCAGGAATTGGGTCCATACCAAGGTTTCTTAGGTTATGTTTCTTATTTTCTGTCTTTGTTGAGTGATTTGAGGATTTTTGCAAGCTCCCTTTTTTAATTGAGCACTTGTGTTTGCTTCGTATGTCATCAGTCCTGTACATTCAAGGCAAGCCATTGATGGGTTTTGGTGATGCTGTCTGCTGTTTTCTTGGGTGATAGAAAGGTCAGATTGTTGGGTTCTTCGGAGGACAAAGGCAGGGATTTAGTGGGAAATTTCTAACTCCTTAGGAACTACTCGGTCTGTCTTCTGCAAACACTAATCTGTAGTGCCACAAAATGCAATGTAACTGAGCAAGATTCTGCCCCTTTTGGCTCAATTGTCCGACTTTTAGTTTCAACCGAGTAAGTGTGTGTCTGAGTTTTTACTTTCCTTTTAAATCACCAGAATCACTCATATGGGTCTATCCACATATGTAGAAAAGTAGTTTTGTTGCAAGTTGCGCTGCTTACAGAGAATTGCCTTTTGTATTGAATTGCAATGGTCCTAATAAAACAATTTCCTGACAAAATCTAACCCTGCAAACTGCTGTTTTTAGACGTTTCTCTGCCCGACTCATTGGAGCACGAACCACATTCAAAATAGTTACTGATTCTTGGCTTTTGTAAATGATACAGCTTGGCTTGCCTTCGAAATTGTAAATGTAAACATCTTTTGGTGTCTTCTACTGTTATTCTAGTTTCATCCAGTCTTAGCAAAAATGACTGTATAGTAGATGATTAATCAGCACTTAGGTTTGAAACCCATGTTTGCAGATCTATGTAGGGGGTGAGTTTTGGTGTATTTTTTATGCATGTTTTGATTTCATCAAGCCTTGAGTGGTCATTAATAGAATGGGGCCAGGTTAGTTTTAATTCAATCTTTTAATTTGAAAATTATTTTGAGTTTTGTGTTAGATGGTCATTCTGGAAACAAATGAGGTACACACTAGAAAGCTTCTGGGGGCTTGTGTTCATTATCTGGTCAGGATCCATTTGGCTACTTTAATGTGTCAAAATTTTGCTTACCTATATGTAATACTGCTCTCTGTTAAGATCCTTACTGGCTCTGAAATTGCAGTTTTTCATGGTCCCCCAGAAGTTCAGTCCTCCCACTGTGTGAAAATTCCATTTTCCAAGTTTGCAACTTTGTATTATAGCACCTAGCCCCCCAAGTAAGACCCCTTTTTCCATACCCTGGGGGGAAAGGAAGAATGATCGCTTGTTTGAATGTGTTGATGCCATCGATATCAAATGTACAAACGGTTCTTGCTGTCCAACAATTACCGAGTATATCTGATGTTCAGATGAGTTCAAATAAATGTTTTTGTTTTTCCAAAAATGATTGTCCATTTTGTTTCTATCCTGATTTCCATTTTCTCAAAATGTAACTTGGTTCAATTTATTGTACAGTGGTTTCATTTGTGGAGGTATGAATAATGAAACACTACTTGTGATCTTTGTGCATTTCAGCCATCGGCACACATTATCACTAACATCAGTTCAGTGCTCGGTAGTTCATGTGTTACTGGCTGTACGTGTACCCTGTAAAGCATAGTGATAACACTGACCTAAATATCAGAAGTGAATTGTGTCATCCCTAGCTTATACAAGCACAGTACATAGAGGAATGAAACATTCCTGCAGGACCATAATCCCACGTGCATGCAAAACAGGTTATACACGGGACTAAACATAGTGCAATAAAACATGACCATACAATAAACACAGTACTGTATTAAATTAACACGTGAGAGCAGGTTTGGTGATCTGTAACGTGCACACCAAGAAAAGTGTTTTTCATCATAGTTCAGCTGGCAATCCCCTACCGGCAACCCTTATTCATATCAGCTTTCCTATCACCTACCTTGTTAACATGACCCTGGCCCTGGAGACTTTCCCTACAATAGCCCAGGGGACGTTTCTTTATTTGGATCCAGAGGAGGATTTTTCTGGTTTGCATTACGTCATAGAAGGATGTAGCATAAAACAGAATATAAAAGCAAAGTTCGTTTATACTCAACTCAAAGTTCACCAGATCATGTTTCAATTGTGTTGCCATTAGGACACTTAAAATTTTACCCTTACATATGTCTTCCACCCACTTATCCAGTACATGATCGCGCTGTGTTTGAGGCCTGTCTCAGGGAGCACAGTGTACGAGGTCAACGAAAACCTGGAGTGGCAATTTAAAGACAATAATTATGAATCTAACCACACGTGCTTAGCCTGCAGGAATAAACTCACGAATCACATGGTGAACCCTCACACTTTAAGAAGTGACACTTTGACTCTGTTTACACTTGGTCGTATCATAATTCGTCAGTCGAGACACTGCGTCGTTTACACCTGTGTCTATAATGTGACTCCAGCTGACCACTTCTGTTACATTTCGTTACTGCCCGCGAAGTTATCGTAACGTTCTTGTGGGGGATGCATCTAGGACGCATTAGCATTTACACCACAAAAGACATGTGGTCAAATGCGTCCCAGACCATCTTGATAAGTGGCTTGTATGATCGGATAACAAAGCTTCTTGCTGGTCGTTTACACTTGTATTTAGTGTTGTCCGCCTACGATCCGATCACCCCAAGACACATTTTAAAACCACGGGTAACGGGCTTAAAGAATTCAGCAACTGAATGTAACGATGGATCAGATCACGTGATTTTAGGCAAGTTGGCGGAAGTTGTCTGTCTCTGCGTACGCGCCACCAAGCTGTTCGTTTGGCGTATGGACGCGCGGGACGAACGCGGCTGCGCGGTTCGGCTCTCGCGCTCGCTGTCGGTAGGTCTTCTGGTCGAGCTGAGGCGGAGTAGCGTTACACGGGAATATGGCAGCCCGGGTGAGTCACATTTTTTTCAGAAAATAATATTACGTTTATATGTACAAGAAAGCGCGCCGTATCTGTTACAGCGAGACAGGGCAAGCTGCTTACAACCGGATCAGAAGGCTTGTTATGGTCACGCCAACGTCAGCACATCCCACCCGGAAGTGAAGGAGTGCTAACTTGCTGATAGCCAGACTGATTGATTTGCGGGAAAACAGTCTTGAAAACTGCTGCTTAGTAACATTTTAAAATCAGCATTATTAAAATATAAACTTTTTAATATATAAGGCTTTATTGTTCGCTATTATTTCAGTATGCCGTTGTCACTAATAGTATCAGCGACGAATAAAACTGGAGGCGTTATATTAAAGCTTAGTTATTTTTAAATCCTATAATTTCTAAATAAAACTTAGTTCCTAAATGCTGACCTGGGATTTGGTAACTGCTTTGCAAACGATTATTTCTGAATCTCTTGGAACAGGATAATGGAAATTCAATGCATCCTTACCTCTTCGTACTGAATTGGGATATTTCACTTCTCCCTGTTTACATTTTTAAAGAGTACACAGGGTACAAATGAAATAGGAAAATAAGTTAACTGTCTGATTTAAGGTAATTGTGTTGACGTTTTAGTCACGTAAAACTATTTACTCACAAGGCTTTTTATGACAAGTCAAATTTGATCAGAAGGACCTCCTCCTTCCCTTTTTCGTACGTTGCAGATGCAGTCTTTTAACAGTACGTACAGTGCGGCTTTATCTTAGGACACGTGGTCAGACGATTGTTGGTTAAAATTTTGCTGTAGGCAGAGTGATGTCACCATTGGACCCTTGAGCAAAGCCCTTAACCCCTGCATGACACTGCATGACCCTACTTTCTCAATTGTGTATTGCTTTGGATAAAAGTGCCTGCTAGATAAATGTAGTGCAGTTAACAGGGGCGTTGCTAGAGATTTTGGGCCCCATGAAAGCATATCATATTAGGCCCCCCAGTCCAAACCAATCCAGTTATTTTCCTAATTTTGTAGGGCCCCTGTCACTCAGGGGCCCTTGGAATCGTCCTAGCTTTCCTCCCCCTTACGGCGCCCCTGGCAGTTAATAATACAAATTGTAAAATACATGTTAGCCAGTGTGCATAATTGAAAATGATTTATTTTGTTGTAAGTGTTCTGAATTCCTCCTGACTGACTGAACCCTGTGATACGAGTGCAGGTAAAGGAACAGGGAAGTACTAGCAGTGTATCCGTACTGGATTTCCTGCTTTTCTCTTCTTATAATTTTTATTTTAAGGTTTTACCTTCAAGCTTCAGGTGATTTAGTGATGTTCTGAATACATTCCACGTGATGGTTTCTGCCATTCTGATACGGGTGTCCCTCAAACTTAATTAAGTAATTAAGACTTTCCAGTGACATACTGGACACTATGGCATAATTGCCCTGGGTGGATATTGTGGATTTTGTGCTGAAGTTTTCTTCCTATCAAAAGGGCAAAGCAGAATTTCTTGGTATAGTTTTATTGCAGAATGTCAGTGCAGAGTGGCAGGATTACACATTAACCGTTTAAAGGTTTTAGTCTTTGTGCACAGTAATATTGTAGCATTTTACTGCTGCTATTATTTCAGTAGCACTGCAGTTTTCTGTGCCTGGTGCTTTTGTTTAAGCTGCTGAATACAGTGATTTTGGTTTTGTTAGCCCCTGGTGCTGTAATTTGTTTCTCTGTTTGTGTTTCTCTTTAATCTTCCCCATTCAGAATATGCAGGCAGCACGCTGCCCGACAGACGAGTTGTCTTTGACAAACTGCGCTGTAGCAAATGACAATGATCTGCAGACTGGACAGTGAGTATGCCTGGTTGGTGTTAAGCGTCACTTAAAGCAGTATCATATTAACATCACTGATGGCCCATCAAGCAGAGCCGGTGATGGGATGACAAGGTGCCATCAGTGTAGCATGACAGGACATTTGTATGGGCACAGATGAAGCGTGTAATATGCATTCTTAAGCTGAGTGGAACAAGGCACTGTACAGCAGGACGCCTGGGCTTGTGTCTAATGCTGTAATTTCCTGTAGTGGTACTAAGGAAAACGGGAGAGTTCCTGTCTGTCCTGTGGTGCACCCAGCCTCTGTAGCCACCATTGACTGGGTCCTTAGGTTCTTCCATAGTTCTCTTAAGCTGTCAGCACACTAGATAAGAAATCTCAGGTGTGTCAGTTTATTTACCAGATTCCTTCGATGTCAAATTTGAGGACCGTCCTCTTGTCTCTAACCAGAAGTACCTTATCAATCGTTGACATTCCCCAAGTAAAGTTGCAATGGTTTTGTGATGCATTTTCTGTCTTCTGCAGGCATGTAACTGTGAAGACCACCCCCACGCACAAGTTTGTCTTCACCATCAAAACACACAAAAGTGTGGTTCCAGGCACCATTGCTTTCAGTCTGCCACAGGTAGGGGGCGCTGCTGCCTGTTTGTTAATCATCCTGTTCAGGTCCAGGTTAATGACACCGTTATTGATAATTACTTTTTTCAAATTAACATTTGACTCAATATTATATTACTAGCCTTTTAAGTTTACTTAATTTGAGTATAATTTATTAACATGATTGTATTTTGAGGACATCATTTCTGTTGTGTATGAACATATTTTTCACTCTGTTGCTTAAGAGCAGTAGGATGTGAACCAGCCAGTGTCTCACTGACTTGTGATT